TCTCTCCAGGCCATAATAATAGTTTTTCTACGATTCCGTTGTTCCCAAAGGGCCTTGACCACATCTGCCTTGTCATGTATCAATTCACCACCCAGTGGTGCAGATCCAGCCAATCTGTCCGCCTGTTCATTACCCACCACGCCGGCATAGACCAGAGAAAAGATCCATTGTATGCTCACTACCCGTGACCTTCCTAGTGAAGCTTGCCACTCTGCTCAAAGCATCCCTGTCTTCAACTTTCTCAGCATGCTTTCAGAATCTGTTACAATTACGGCATGTTTGCATCTTGTTCTCTAGCCACCAGAGAGCTGCAGTTACCGCTTCCACCTCCATTCTCATGTAAGATGTTGTGTTGTCGTATGCTAGCAGTCTTCCACTAAAGATTTTCCATTGGCTTTAGCTACGAAACGCAAGCACTTCTCTTTCCTCTCAACACCAAACCATCTGTATAGATAATCTGATCACCTGGACGTGAATTGTCGTAAATCAACTATTGGACTTCCATCTTCAAAGCACCCACTGGCCACTCTCTGCACACACGGCCTTAATGTTATCATAACCCTACACAGGTCAGACTTTTCCTCTGGTACTCTGACCCACTCCTCTCCTCGAACAATGTGCGTGTGTGTGTGTGTGTGTGCGTACAAAATGGGGCCCACAACCCACACATTGATCGCATCGATTCACCAACAAATGGTGCAGAATCAGCAAGCTTTTACTGACAGAGAAGTGAAAGTAAATCAAAGGACACTTCTCCACACCTTCAGGTGCACTGGGTAAATAGGGCTAGATCTTTATTTTATAGACCAAATGGCAACAGGTGGGTGATGTACTCTGCATCACGCCAGGCTGCCTTTACTTCCCAGGACTGTACCTGGTACCCACTCAAGGCTGGGTCGACCTGGAAGCCAAGGTCATTTTTGAAAAAAGTCCAGTCCCCATCAGGACCTAAAGCCACAACATACAGATAGAGAAGAATAAAGCCAAAAAGCCAAACCTGAACATCATCTGGAGACGATATATCCTCCAGACTCCCAAGAGATGAACTTTTGCTGTGTGAAGACCCTCCATCGTACAGAGATAATGGCAGAGACAAGCGGGCGTTGACAGCCATCAGGTGGTCACGGCGTGAGGTCAACTCCCTGACCTGACCTTCCAGATTCTGGTTTTCTCCTTTGAGTCTGTGTAGGCAGTTCAGAAGAGAGGATACTGGGGAATTCAAATCAAACTGTATATCAATACCCAGAGTAAGAAGATCAAAGCATAACACAAATATACAGACAGATAAACACACAAAACATGAGACAGATAATTCGACAGTATCAGTTAAGACATGGAGTACATTCTAGCTTTTTGCAAGCCAGTATTTCTTCTTTTTTTCCCCCCTGCATTCACCTTTAAAAGATGTTGGTACATTGTGTTGTGGTTTACAGCTGGGCTGTGATATCTGTGCCTTTCAGCTCAGAAAATCTAATTTAGCAAATTTTATATTAGCTACCTTTTACAACATAATGTTAAGTGGCAGTGAGTCTACACCCCCCCCCCCCCACAAAGGGGTGTGTGTGAAAAAAAAAGGGGGGGGGGGGGCATAGAGGAAAACTAGCCCTAACTTGTTACAACTAATCATGACAAGTGTTTTTAAACCAAAAATGAATTATTTTTTTCTGGCATCAGAACCACTATGAGTTATGAGTTGAATATCTTTACAGCACTCCGGACACATCCATAGGTGCTTAGATTCTCCTCTCAACATATTCATCAGCGTCGCACGGTTAGTAGTGCCAGTCCTATGCTGGTTGACAAGACTTTGTGTACATCCAGTGCGCTTCTCATGCTTGGCTGTGACAATCTTTACTCCCAATTCTCGTATTTTTAGCAGTGATGTGGACATGTTGCTTCCAAAATCCTTGGAATGTCCTATCTCTCTACAGTATCACTATGTTAACCACCTGTGAAATTAGACGCTAAGAAAAGGCTAGGAACAAAACGAGAGATTATGTAAGAAATGAGATTACAAGACCTATTGGAACAGTCCCCACCATTGAATTCACTGAGAAACACAGACTGAAATGGTTCTGCCACCTATTGAGAATAAATCCAACAATGCCGGCAGTTGACAGTGTATAACAAGAAAATTAAAATACCATGAGACAGAGGGAGACCTAGAAGAAAATGGGATGAAGACTGATAGATAGTCTAAGGCTCACAACATCACAGCATACTATAGCAATTGAGAGTGCATTGGCTGTGCTACCCGACATCTGTTAAAATAGAATACGTGGTATGCTGTGGAAGTCTCTAGCTGTCAGTGACTTCTTCAAACCAACTTTTTTCTACATATTCATTTTATATATACTGTTATATGAATGTGTCGGTTTTTGCGGCTCAGGTGTTGCGACATGCGTTTTGTAATGCCGGGGTCGATCCCAGCTGCAGGCCTTGCGCTGGTTTCGACAGTGGTATCGAAAAGCTGACCGTCCAGAAAGCAATAGGCAAACTATACTGGTCATAAATTTGCGTAAAAGATCACCACCGCTAAAAAAATGCTGGGGCTGGTTCTGTAACGTCCTGTAAAGGATACGCAGCTATCTTTGTTTCAATATGAACATAACATGCTGTAGAAAAAAAAATTACAATTACGGTCTAAAAGATAAGTGTTTTGGGGGGCTGAATGAAAGATCAGCCTGCATGCCCAATTTTAAAAAAAGTTAGTTTTCTCTCCTTCTGCCTCTCACTGTTTCGGTTTTGATATTGTACGCTCTTGCTGCCGCCATCACTGGATACAACAATACTGTATCCCTCAGGACTACATCTATAACAAACGAAGAAACAGTAACAAATGACATACTGTCACATACCCCAGGACTACATCTACAACAACAACAAAAAGCAACAGTAACAAATGACATATTGTCACATCCCTCAAGGACTACATCTACAACAAAAGAAGCAACAGTAACAAATGACATACTGTCACATCCCTCCAGGACTACATCTACAACAAAAGAAGCAACAGTAACAAATGACATACTGTCACATTCCTCCAGGACTACATCTACAACAAAAGAAGCAACAGTAACAAATGACATACTGTCACATCCCTCCAGGACTACATCTACAACAAAAAGCAACAGTAACAAATGACATACTGTCACATCCCTCCAGGACTACATCTACAACAAAAGAAGCAACAGTAACAAATAAACTGTCACATCCCCCAGGACTACATCTACAACAACAAAAAAGCAACAGTAACAAATGACATACTGTCACATCCCTCCAGGACTACATCTACAACAAAAGAAGCAACAGTAACAAATAAACTGTCACATCCCCCAGGACTACATCTACAACAACAAAAAAGCAACAGTAACAAATGACATACTGTCACACCCCCCAGGACTACATCTACAACAAAAGAAGCAACAGTAACAAATGAAATACTGTCACATCCCTCCAGAACTACATCTACAACAAAATAAGCAACAGTAACAAATGACATACTGTCACATCCCTCCAGGACTACATCTACAACAAAAGAAGCAACAGTAACAAATAAACTGTCACATCCCCCAGGACTACATCTACAACAACAAAAAAGCAACAGTAACAAATGACATACTGTCATACCCCCCAGGACTACATCTACAACAAAAGAAGCAACAGTAACAAATGAAATACTGTCACATCCCTCCAGGACTACATCTACAACAAAAGAAGCAACAGTAACAAATGACATACTGTCACATCCCTCCAGGACTACATCTACAACAAAAGAAGCAACAGTAACAAATGACATACTGTCACACCCCCCAGAACTTCATCTACAACAACAAAAGAAGCAACAGTAACAAATGACATACTGTCACATCCCTCCAGGACTACATCTACAACAAAAGAAGCAACAGTAACAAATAAACTGTCACATCCCCCAGGACTACATCTACAACAACAAAAAAGCAACAGTAACAAATGACATACTGTCACATCCCTCCAGGACTACATCTACAACAAAAGAAGCAACAGTAACAAATAAACTGTCACATCCCTCAGGACTACATCTACAACAACAAAAAAGCAACAGTAACAAATGACATACTGTCACACCCCCCAGGACTACAACTACAACAAAAGAAGCCACAGTAACAAATGAAATACTGTCACATCCCTCCAGAACTACATCTACAACAAAATAAGCAACAGTAACAAATGACATACTGTCACATCCCTCCAGGACTACATCTACAACAAAAGAAGCAACAGTAACAAATAAACTGTCACATCCCCCAGGACTACATCTACAACAACAAAAAAGCAACAGTAACAAATGACATACTGTCACACCCCCCAGGACTACATCTACAACAAAAGAAGCAACAGTAACAAATGAAATACTGTCACATCCCTCCAGGACTACATCTACAACAAAAGAAGCAACAGTAACAAATGACATACTGTCACACCCCTCAGAACTACATTTACAACAAAAAAAGCAACAGTAACAAATGACATACTGTCACATCCCTCCAGAACTACATCTACAACAAAATCAGCAACAGTAACAAATGACATACTGTCACATCCCTCCAGAACTACATCTACAACAAAATAAGCAACAGTAACAAATGACATACTGTCACACCCCCCAGGACTACATCTACAACAACAAAATAAGCAACAGTAACAAATGACATACTGTCACATCCCTCCAGGACGACATCTACAACAAAAGAAGCAACAGTAACAAATGACATACTGTCACATCCCTCCAGAACTACATCTACAACAAAATAAGCAACAGTAACAAATGACATACTGTCACACCCCCCAGGACTACATCTACAACAACAAAATAAGCAACAGTAACAAATGACATACTGTCACACCCCCCAGGACTATATCTACAACAACAAAAGAAGCAACAGTAACAAATGACATACTGTCACATCCCTCCAGAACTACATCTACAACAAAATAAGCAACAGTAACGAATGACATACTGTCAAAATGATGGCCCTGCTCCATGAGAAAATGAGCACCCTGCTCCCACTGTTGTTCCAGTAACTGCTCCATGGAAAGTGGAAAGTCCCTGTGGATACAAGCAGAAAACATCAATCAATTTAACTCCCCCTCTCTTCTGAGCCTAACTAGAAACAGCTTAGAGTTTAAGAAGGGTTAGCACCTTCTTCTGAAGTTATCCCTCAACTGAACATAGGCTCTTTAATTCATGACAAGTCGTTCTATAATTTTCCTATCACATCCAGTTCTTGTCAACTTCACTCTCTATTCCCCTTTTCCATGTGTTTTTAGCCTTGTCTTTATTCCTCTGACCCTGTGGGTTCTGCAAAGACACTCTAGTTATATTGTTCTAATGTTTTATCAATGAGTGTCTTATTCAAGACTCAAGCTAATCCCATAAAAAACTGCTGCCAAATCCAACTAAACATGAACAAAGTCTTCCCAAAAGAGCAGCATAATTTTGTTGATGCTTTAATGCTGATAAAAGGCAGTAGATGAAACAAGAAAAGTGTGGGTCAGGGTCATCTCAGCCTCACAAAATGGGCACCAGAAACTTTTCTGATTTCTTCTGGGAAGGAAAACTGATGATGATAGAGGTGACGACTCCATATCAGGAAAACAGATGATGAGAGAGGTGATGACTCCATATCAGGAAAACAGATGATGAGAGAGGTGACGACTCCATATCAGGAAAACAGATGATGAGAGAGGTGATGACTCCATATCAGGAAAACTGATGATGAGAGAGGTGATGACTCCACATCAGGAAAACAGATGATTGAGAGAGGTGACGACTCCATATCAGAAAAACAGATGATGAGAGAGGTGACGACTCCATATCAGGAAAACTAATGATGAGAGAGGTGATGACTTCATATCAGGAAAACTGACGATGAGAGAGGTGATGACTCCATATCAGGAAAACAGATGATGAGAGAGGTGATGACTCCATATCAGGAAAACAGATGATGAGAGAGGTGATGACTCCATATCAGGAAAACAGATGATGACTCCATATCAGGAAAACATGATGAGAGAGGTGATGACTCCACATCAGGAAAACAGATGATGAGAGAGGTGATGACTCCATTACAGGAAAACAGATGATGAGAGAGGTGATGACTCCATATCAGGAAAACAGATGATGAGAGAGGTAATGACTACATATCAGGAAAACAGATAATGAGAGAGGTGATGACTCCATATCAGGAAAACAGATGATGAGAGAGGTGATGACTCCATATCAGGAAAACAGATGATTGAGAGAGGTGATGACTCCATATCAGGAAAACTGACGATGAGAGAGGCGATGACTCCATATCAGGAAAACCGATGATTGAGAGAGGTGATGACTCCATATCAGGAAAACTGATGAGAGAGGTGATGACTCCATATCAGGAAAACAGATGATGAGAGAGGTGATGACTCCATATCAGGAAAACCGATGATTGAGAGAGGTGATGACTCCATATCAGGAAAACAGATGATGAGAGAGGTGATGACTCCATATCAGGAAAACAGATGATGAGAGAGGTGATGACTCCATATCAGGAAAACAGATGATGAGAGAGGTGACGACTCCATATCAGGAAAACAGATGATGAGAGAGGTGATGACTCCATATCAGGAAAACTGATGATGAGAGAGGTGATGACTCCATATCAGGAAAACAGATGATGAGAGAGGTGACGACTCCATATCAGGAAAACAGATGATGAGAGAGGTGACGACTCCATATCAGGAAAACAGATGATGAGAGAGGTGATGACTCCATATCAGGAAAACTGATGAGAGAGGTCATGACTCCATATCAGGAAAACAGATGATGAGAGAGGTGACGACTCCATCTCAGGAAAACAGATGATGAGAGAGGTAATGACTCCATATCAGGAAAACGGATGATGAGAGAGGTGACGACTCCATATCAGGAAAACAGATGATGAGAGAGGTGATGACTCCATATCAGGAAAACAGATGATGAGAGAGGCGATGACTCCATATCAGGAAAACTGATGAGAGAGGTGATGACTCCATATCAGGAAAACGGATGATGAGAGAGGTGATGACTCCATATCAGGAAAACTGATGATGAGAAAGGTGATGACTCCATATGAAGCTATGAACTTGTACACATGAATATTAACAATTCAATTCTCACTGGCAGTCAGTTTGCGGCAGGATAATTATTGTGATGAAGGCCTGTAAATATATCTGAGTAAGCAGATAAATTAGTTCGTATATAATACACTTTTCTTATGACTTAAATCATTAGTCACTGCACCATTCATCACATGTATTTATTCCCACACTGAAGCATCCCCCAGCATATTACTGCAAATACATTTAAATATCTGGGACTTGTTCCAAAACTAACCTAGAGACTCTTGACAGAGTACAAAATAATGCCCTCCGATTAATCTGCGGAGCTATGCAGTCTACACCAACTGCTGCATGTGAAATCCATACAAATGTGGAACCCCTCGGGTTGCGGAGAGAAAAAGCCACTTTATAAATTTATGAAAGATGCGTTAGGAAAAATCGTAACCATCCTAATAGACATCTTGTAGAAAACTGGGAACCCAAACAAAGAATAAAGCACAAATCGGTTTTACACTGTGTTAATGAAATTCAGGACAGATACCACCTCCCAGAAAGACGTCAAGGAATTCAGAATGTTGCAAAAAACCTACCACCACATGCTCGCTTTAAAGCTCCAGAAGTCCAAACTAAATTGGTAGGCGAGGAAACCAAACAGTCCGACCCAATCGCTCTTATGAACTCATCACTAAAGACCGTGATTCTTACCCCCAGAAATGGATACATGTCTATACTGATGGATCAGCATTTAAAGCTACCATTAAAGCAGGTTACAGAATCTACATAGGTTATCCCGATGGATCTGTTGAAGAGATTTTTGATGCATGCGGGGAATTCTGTTCAAACTATGAAGCTGAAATAATTGCACTGGAAACAGCAGTATACCACCTAAAGACTGTAATGGATGTTTACCCCTCAAAGGTCCAAAATATTGTCATCTTCACAGATTCAATGTCTGCCCTTCAAGCTCTGGAGGGCAATGAACGCTGCAGAACTGACATAGCCAAGATAATCCTGGATGCCGATCAGCTTATTACCTCATACAACAGCAGAATAGTGATGCAGTGGATTCCAGGTCACTCCGGCACACCAGGTAATGACAGAGCTGACAGATTGGCAAAGAAAGGAGCAACACAAGAACAACCACCTACAGGGACAACCCTCCAGACAGCAAAAACACTGATAAGAGCTATAAACAAAGAGACTTGGTTGAACAGATGGGCCATGGGAGACACTGGAAGAGAGGTTTATAGACATATGTCTGGCCCTGATCCTAATGACAGCATTAACCATCTAACAAGAAGGGACCAGGCCACCATCTTCAGACTTAGAACGCAACATACTCCACTCAATGGACACCTAAACAGAATACAGCCACAACACTCCCCAGAGTGCCAGCTATGTAACTACCCCTACGAAACTGTTGAACACCATCTCTTTGAGTGCCCAAAACTCAGTGAGACAAGAAGAACGCTACTCCCTCCGAGACCAGACAAGTGGAACACCTTGTACGGAGGAAAAGAACAGCTTGTGAAAACATGCAAATTCCACTACATGGCATTGGGCCAAAGGGCGAAAGCTCATGCGCCGCTGGATCGATAACAACAACAACAACAAATATCTGGGAACAATAATACCAACATATGGAAAATGTGTGACAGAGATTAAAAGCAGAATAGGTCAAGCGAAAGCTGCATTTCAGAAAATGAAAAATATCTTATGCAATAAATCACTCTCATTTAATGTCAGAAAGAGGCTGCTAAAATGTTACATAGAACCTGTTCTGCTGTATGGCAGCATATCTTGGAATGTCACTGAACAAATTAAGAAGAATATGTGGTTTCTGAGACGAATGTTACGAATACCTTGGACAGCCAGAGTAACTAACAACGATTGCTTGAAAGAGGCTAATGAAAGTAGATCTCTATATACAACAATAAGAAAGAGACAAACACTGTTCTTTGGCCACATAATGAGAAGAGAGACATTGGAGAACATCGTGACAACTGGAAAGATCAGTGGAAAAAGGGATAGAGACAGACCAAGAGAGATGATGCTTGATGGGCTAAAACGATGGCATGGAGGGATGTCATCAAGACAGCTGTTCCAGTCAACCAGGGATCGTGATCTGTGGAGTCGCACGAGTGCCTACGCCAGTTGGCAGGGCACATGATGATGATGATGACACTGGAGCATAAACCATTTTTTTTATTTAAAAGAAAAAACAGAAAAAGAAGAAGAAGTTCCCACATGTGTTCTGTGGACTCATTTTGTGGGGAAAAAGAATAGACCCCCACCCTGCTTTTTTCCAACAAGAAAGTTGTAAAAGGTGACTAATTAAGGGTGTTCCCTTTGAAGTCAGAGTGCAACTGCCTGAGAGGCGAGGCATCAACAGTCTGCCTATGAATAGGCCACATCTGTACAATGGAAGTGGATGCAAAAAGTTCTGGAACAAGACCAAAAGTCAGAAGGTGATGAACAACCAGAACTTTATGCCGGAGTTTACAGTTAATGAATGCGAAGAAGACAGACTTAGCACGCATGTCCTTTATTCCCCCATACTGTACAACAGGTCAAAATAAAGAAGCAGAAGAAGAAAAAATAAGTGGGGATCATACAAATTCTTGTTTACTGTAAATACTAAGAAAACACCTTGCCACGGCACTCACTGTGAATGGTCCTGGTTATACCTTGGTGCACTTGCCATCATGCTAGGGAACTGTTTGGGTGGTGGTATCAAAGTACTGGCCCCATTTAACACAGCACTAGAATCTGAAAATAAGGGGGAACAACACTGCATAAGGTTCACCTACATGTACAGCAGCCGTGGTGGTCATTCCTGCTTCAGAAGTATATCTAATGCAGACATACAAGATTCAACAATAAGGTAATGAGACTAATTCAATTAAAAATTAAAATAATGAACAGGTGAAGATATAAAATATATTTTATTTAAAGTAAGCCCCTTGTGCATTGAAACAGCAAGCGACACAATCTAGCAAACACTGGAATGACCTCTGTAGTTCTTCTGTTGTTATGGCCCTTTGGATGACATCAATATCATCAAAGAAGAATCCGTTCAACGGAAAATTTAATTTTAGGAATAGAAAAAATAATCACAGAGAGACAAATCTGTGAAATAGGATGGATATTTGAGAACATACACTTGTTTTTGGACCAAAAATTATTGTGCAACTACAGCCCGGTGGGCCGGTGCATTCTCATGAACAAGGAAAAAACTGCCCGGTGTTGAAAACTCGGGTCAGACTCTGAGAATCTGTTTCAACAGACGTTTCAAAATACTTAAATAAACTGTGGCTGTGACAGTCTGCCCTCTGGAATAAATTCTTTGTGAATAACTCCTTTAGTGTAGTAGAAGCAAACCAACACATTTGACCTCTGAAGAGATGGATTTTTATGCCTTTTGGTGGTGATGATGATGATAACTTCCACTGAGCACTTTGGCATTTAGTTGTGGGATCATATGGGGAAAATCCTTGTTTCGTCCTCCTCAACAATCCAATCTAAGAAATGTTTATTTCTGTGACCCATTTTGGTGATGTCTTTTGGGTACTCAACACGCTGATGTTTTTGGTCATCAGACAATGAATGTGGCGTGAACTGGCAATCAACTTTTTTCTTGCCCTAATCTTAGTAAACAATAAAATTTTACGAATGGTTTCTCTATTAACAACAAATTCATCATCCTCACAGTCAAACACTGATATTCTTGTATAAGTTCTCTGACTTTTGCAGAGAGTTCCTCATTACAAACAGAAACTGAGCGTCCAGGTCTAGTTGCATTAGTAAACTTTTGAATTGTGAATACTACTTAAAAATATTTGCAAGAGGTATATAATTATCCCCATTAACTTGTCGCATCAATTCAACTGTTCCCCCGTGTGGGTTCCGGAGCCCCATTGTGGGGAAAACAAGAATAGACCCACTGCCTCCCAAAAAGCATGTCGTAAGAGTCGACTAATTGGGGAGCTTCCTTTGAAGTCGGAGTGCATCTGCCGGAGAGGCAAGGAACCAACAGTCTGTATTCAAGAGAATGAGATCTGTAAAACTGATGCACACGCAACACTCAGGTTCTGGAGCAGGACTGCAGTTCAGTAGTGGACGAGCAACCAGAACCTTCCGCCAGAGTTTATAGCTGATGAATGCGAAGAAGAAAAATAAGAATTCAACTGTCTCAATGAAGCTTCTTCTGAGTTTTAAACAGAATTTAATGTTAGCTTTTTTTTTTACTCCATGCAGATTACGTAACAATGCACTCTGACTAGGTCAACAAGAAGAGTTTGCCTGATCATAGATAAAAGTTGCCTCTTTGGATTCCATGCTTTGCTTCATAGATTGCATTTTTGTCTTGGCCATAATAAAATCAGTCACATTACTTAATTGTAGGATCAAAGATGTGATTTCTGTATTGGAAATTATCTCTTTTTAATTTAAAGAAAGCATTAGTATAATATAAGAGAAATATGTAAATATGTAATATTATAATATGAGAAATCTGTAAAATAAAAGTTGTTTCTCCACTAATCTCACAAATATTTACTAGTTGGTTCACAGAAGGGGCACATTTCTATCAAGTGCATGAACCAACATCTAACTCACATCTTGGGACTGCAGCATAAACCACATGGTGTGACAATCATGGGTGCCCTAATACAACTTCTTGAGAGGTATATGGGATTTTCCCTGTTGCTCTGCCACCCAGAAAGATATTCTTGTAGTCTCAGGGGTGGTCAAACCTTCAGGGAGCAGTCCGGAGGGGGGATTGGGCAGAGATAGGTCTGGGCAGAGATAGGTCGATCATCAAGTGCAGTGTCAACTGATGTGGGCAACCGTATCTCTCCAGATCCTACAACCAGGCAAGCACATACTAGTTTATTTAGGCAGCAGAATAAAAAAAAAAGGGGGTGGGGCTGATATTTTTCCAAAAACCTTTTGCTGTCAATCTCCTTTTTCTTCTTCGTCTTCAGCATTCTGAAACACCTGGTTCAATTCCAACTGTAGGAACATAAAGCAGCAGACTGTCCTGCGTTAATTTTGACTATAGTATGGACTGCCAAACATTCACAAAGCAATGGCAAACTATTCAACATAAAATGCCCAGTAAAACCAAAAACAGTCACACACATCCTGTAAAGCAGTGGTTCTCAACCTGTTGGTCATAACCCTTTTTTGGGGCCGAACAACCCTTTCACAGGGGTCGCCAAAGACCACTGGAAAACGCACATTCACTAAAGTTATGAAGTGGCAGTAAAAATAAATTTATGGCTGGGGGGGGGGGGGGGGGGGGGGAGTAGCCACAACATAAGGAACTGTATTAAAGGGTCACGGCTTTAGGAAGGCTGAGAGCCACTGCTGTAAAGGTTGGGCAACAAACTTTAATAATTCCCACCTCACTGGCAATAACTGCCCTAGAACAACCTGCCCCATAAAATTTACAAAATAAGGTTGAGAGGAATGACTTTCTTGCACAGAGTTTTATCCCCTATGTCTCAGTCTCTCGCCACAGAATGGCTAGTCACATGCCATAGAGGCCACATAAAACATCAACTCAATAGGTCTCCTAAGGGATTTCCATAACATTTTCGAAGGCTTAGCCAGTAGCCAGTTAACCATGCCCCTGCCCCCCCCCCCCCCCCCCCCCCAACTTTTGAGAGAGCTGTGTTGATGCTGGAAGTTGTGTCACTTTCTGCAATGTTTGTTCTTTCTTGGCTAAATGGATCTACTAGTACCCCTACCTCATCCCACACTGACTCTTGACTAAAGGGATCAACTAGTATCCCTATCTCATCATAAGCGGTAAACAAAGAAATATAACTGTTTTTTCTTTTGACAAATGAAAAGTGAAATGTAACCAAAAAACTCTACAAATGACACATGCAAATGAATTTTTTTTTAAATGTCCACCTTTAAAAAAAAAAAAAAAACAATGGTTGGAAAAATGGAAATGGTTGAAGTAAAAATGTGAATACAGAAAGGCAACAAACTTACACATATTAATTTAAATGTTAGGCATTCTCATTCATTCTAGCTGTATTTTTTCCACCATCAGAATCAAGGCCCTCTGACACAATGTAACTAGCTTCTTTCTCTCAACAAGTTCTAATTTAACACAGGCGATTATACAGCCAAGTCAAAGAAGACTGATCCAACAAACTAAGTCACACAAACATGTTAGCGCACACTGATTATTAAAAGCTATCCACAAACACAAACTTAAAATGGTTGATTCCCTTTCACACTGGGTTGGGAACTACACTGCAAAGGAAATCATAATGCATTTTCTTCTTCTTTTTAAATGTAAAATTTATCAGTACAGTAATATACAGTGAATATACTTCCAAGCCCTTCAAATGCAAATGTAAAGTGGCAGAAATTTTAAACACCGGAGTGCGGAAATAACGTTACAATTTCACATTGCACTTTAAATAACACAATGAGACAGACAAAAATTAAAAGAATGTAAAATTTATGTGATTTATCTACAAATGAAAACTAAAAGGTGGCCAGCTCAATTAAAACATAGGGTTAAGAAATACACTAAAATTACACACTGCATTTCAGATGTTATAAAAAGGATTCTTTTTCACGCCCTTAGGTGCATTAGATATATAGGGTTAGACAGACCAACTGTCATTTGGTGGGGTGATGTGGTCAACAACAGGCCAACTACCTTTACTTCCCAGGACTTTACCTGGTATACATGGTCATTAAAAAAAAAAAGCCTGGCTCGGTCAGGGCCCAAACCAGGAAAGTCTCTTAGGTGTTATAAGGTATACAAAATGTAAAATTTATCATTACAGTAATACACAGAGATTATTCATCCAAGCCATTAAAAATGATCAAAACTAAGTCATAAAAGTACAAAGTACAGTAAAGGGCCTTTTGGTGGTGGTGGTGGGGGGGGGGGGGGGGGGGGGGGGGGGTGGGGGGGTGAACATTGGGCACATGATGCTAGGCCCATGTTCTTAGACCAATCAACACTCGGTAAAAATGTAAACTAACGGTACAAATCCAGACAAATGTGAAAGGGATATTTGACAAGAAAGAGCAAGATAGTGTACAACGCAAAATGGCCACCCTCAGTTATATTGATGAAGAATACCCACAAGAACAATGGGTCAGAGTCTATACAGATGGGTCCGCAGAAAGTGCAGTTAGAAATGGTGGTGCTGGAGTGTACATCGAATTCCCAGATGGTACTAGGGATAAGTCCAGCGTACCAACCGGGAAGTACTGCCATAACTACGATGCAGAAACATTAAGATAGCTACAGAGAAACTGCTAAATACCAACCTTGGCTCACAGTATGTGGTAATGCTTACAGATGCTAAATCAGTACTTGAAGCACTCCAGTCTAGGAAACTACCAGAATTGCAAACACTGCTGACACAACTCAGCGTTCAGCGAAGAGTCGTAATGCAGTGGATACCGTCTCATTGTGGAGTGCCTGGAAATGAGAAAGCTGATCAACTGGCAGGGGAAGGTGCGAAAAAAAGAGCAGCCAGATGTACCAGTCACATACCACCAAAAGAAAAGAATCATTAAATCGATCAGGAAACCACCAGCCCCAGCACAAGACGACTATTTTATTATGGACAGACCAGAACAAGTCATTATCTTCCGCCTCAGAACAGGGCACAACCGATTACGTAACCACATGTTCACAAAATTCAAGATAGGTGTATCAGCCATGTGCACCTGTGGAAATGTGCCCCAGACCGCAGAGCATGTACTCCAGGACTGCACCGAATTTGACACATTAAGGCAAACCTTTTGGCCAGAAAGAACAACAGTGGAACGTAAACTCTATGGACCACTGAATGAACTAACAACGACAGTGAAATTTATACAAGAGACAAAACTGCTGATATAGATAACTTATTTCAGGCGAACGAAAGAAGAAGAAGAAGAACACTCGGTGGCCACCTTTACTTCCCAAGACATGACCTGGTAGCCATTTCAGACTTCACTCATCACTTTCAGAAATGCAAACCCTTCTGAGGATTTAGTTAATCTGGACACTAATACATGAATTTAGTGCTTCTTCTTTTATGACCACCAGCTGTGATCTCTGTGGCAGAAATTCCTCACTTTTGCTTTTTGTATGTCTGAATTTTGGTCTTGTTCCAGGACTCAAGTGTTAGACATGCATCCGTTCTAGAGGTCTGGCTTATTTGTGTGCAGACTACTGGTTTCTCATCTCTCAATCGGATGCGCTTCTACTTCGCAGGAATGCTAATCGCATCTACCTTGACAGGACCCTGCTGGGCAACCTGTCTCTTTGGTAACCATGGAGAGATGTGGTTCATTTTGAGCCCAGCTCCATCAATGAAGGTGGTGTGATGCACTTCTGCCATCTCTCCTTAATAATTCTTCTTCTTTGTGTTCACTGGCTGTAAACTCAGACGGAAGGTTCTGGCTCCTCATCCACTTCTCGACTCTAGTCTTGTTCCAGAACCATGAGTCTTGTATGCAAATCCATTTAACAGATCTGCCTTATTTGTGTGCAGACTGTTGGTTCCTCACCTCTCAGGCAGATGCACTCCAACTTTGAAGGAAACATCACTAATTAGTAGACTCTTTCTACATGCTTGTTAGGACGCAGTGGATCTATTTTTTACCCCCATCACTAATGGCGCCCCGGAACTCACACAGGGATCCTTTATAACTGAAAAACAATTTATCAGTGCCCCCCTTCCATCAATACATACAATATCTGTTTTACATGAGGAATTAAAATTCTCACGAGACATTTAACAAAAATGTCACAAGGATACACAGATTAGATCCATATAATACAATGGCTTATTGTTACGTGAAATAATCTGTAGCCACAGGTGGGGATATATCTGCTACAACAAGCACTAAGTGCCTGCATTTCTAGTCATGCAGAATCATGCACAAACAACCCCACAAAACAACACTCAAGGAAACATTCAGGGGTTGTCACCCACCAAAAAAATCATCTGTGCTGTACAAGTAGTTCTCACCCATATAGGGATAGCCGGAATACACAGCTGGAGACAAAACAGGATTATAATTGTGCTGTGAGTGAGTTTTAACAGATGTATATCAATCTTCACCATCTGAATGAAACGGGGAAAGCAGTACAGCTTGTGTGTGTATCTCTTGTCTAACAATGTATGTTTTCGTGCTATGACTCTATTGCCATTCAGTTTCTCCACTCCCATACAATATCGCGGCGGCCATACAATGTCATCGTGGTCGTACAATGCCATTGACTTCATACAGTGTATCTGTCACACATTGTCATTGATATCATACAAAGTTTTTGCAAACAACGTTATTGTTGTCATACAGTGCTGCTGTTGTCATACAATATCGCTCTTGATTTACCCTATTCCCCCACCCCTCCCTTAATTTTTTTAACCTCCAGCTACCATAAAATAGGGAAAGCATAGACAGCCAGTATGACTGCTCTTTAGAAATAAAATGTGGATTAGGGTGCCCCATTTGGGGCAGGGAAAAGAATAGAACAAATGAAAACTAATTAGGGATGTTTCCTTCAATACTGGCATGCATCTGCCTCCTAGGCAAAGAACCAACAGTCAGCACATAAATTAAGTCAGATCTGTAAAACAAATTTGCACACAACACTCAAGTTCTGTAACAAGACCAAAGTCCAGAAGTAGATGAACAACCAGAGCTGTCCGCCAGAGTTTATAGACAGTGAATGCTAAGAAGAAGAATGGCTAGCCCCAAGGCATGAAAAGGACTCTCAGGTTGCTTACAACAGGCTACAATATTCCCAGCAGCATCAGCTATTACAAACTGGCATGACTTACCATGGGTTGAGAAGGGTGGCAGGGAAACTCGGCCAGGAGCACTCAAGCTCTGAAAATAAGGGCTTCCACCAAAAATGCTGCCACAGTAATCATGGTGGCTGAAAACAGACAGGAAATGTGTTTAAACTGTCAAATATCTACAACTGATTAAAATGTGGAGAACTGAAAAGTTTAACTGATCACAAATAGCAGCAGAAGATCAAAATAAAAAGAGCAATGAGACAGAAATGGAAAGATAAGGTATAAGAGAAGTAGAAAGATAGAAAAAAAATACTTTCTTTGAAAAATATTTTATATTCACAGATTATAAAAAACATTGGACAGCGAAAATTACCACAAAAAAATTGTAGGGAAGTTTTTTTTCCACTTCTGCATCATGTAAGTTCAAAAGTCCAGATTTATTTTCTTTAGCAACTGCCAAATGGTCCCTGACAAATCTGTACATTATCAAATAAAAGTTGCATGTTCCCACATTTTTTTTTGACTGGGTTTGTGGTAGTTCAGTTACATTAAAATACAAAATTAACAGCAACAGAAATAAAACAATTCAGTTCAGTACTAGGGAAGGAGAAAAGACAGACCAAGAAAGATATGGATACAGAATTTAGCCGAATGGACAGTCATCAAACATGCAAATATCAAGTTCTCTGCATCTGACTGGTGGGGGCAGAGGAATCTGATCAGAGAGTCAACTACAAATGTTATAAAAGTGTCTCATCATGGGATGCAATTTTTTTGTTTGAAGCTCCAGCCTGGCTTTTCTTGTCCTCAAAGGCTGAAAGGGGTTTCTGAAACCTCTCCACGGGTTATGCTCATCAGCATGGTAGCACTTTGTGTTACCGAGTGTTTATCGCTTGTGTGATGTCCTAGTGGAGTACAAATACCTACCGACCTACTGCATATGGTAACTACAGTGTGAAGGGACTACGGTGATTTACAATCAACTACTTACCCAGGCAAAGATGAGGGTGTGCTTGTTGGGGGGTTAACAGATGCACCTCCACTTTTAGAGTTGACCCCACCAGACTCTCTTCGTTTCCTTGTGGTCTTCTTGGGAGCATCCTTTTTGTGTATCACAGTGGATGAATAGTATTTGACTTGGTTTTCTTGGTTGCGGTCTTGTCCAACTTTTCAATTTGGCTTTAAAAAAACACACAAGAGCCTTTATATCTGACATCTGAACTAGAGCTTTGGAATTATAATGTGAATTATAAGGAGCAGAGTGGACGTGTGCTGGGTCCATAATTCAGAGATCAGTAGATCAGAAATCATGCTCTGCTAAAATTTTCAGACAGGGAAAAGAATGGGTGGAAACACCAGCAGACATATGTAACTACTACTCAAGGTTACGACACTGGGGAGGTTTTGCAGGAAGCCATTTGCCTAATGCTCTGAATATTACAGGTTTCATTTCAAGGACTGTCTTTTGCAATGTTTCTGTAGATCTCTGGCGATCATTACTGGAACTATGGAGTTTGTGTCGTGTGCAATTCTCTAAGCAGACAACTAGTCATTCTACAAAAAAAAAAAGACTGAGCCATATGGGATAATAATTGGTGTAAGGAAGTCCCTCCTCTTGGTCTTAAGAACTGTATATTTTAAATTCATTTCAATTCTCTTCATGTTTCATAGAAGAAATTTTTTGCTATGCCACTACAATGGTGCATGATGGATAATGAGATAATAATCTGATAGTACAAAATACAATGAAAAATGCTTCACACTTTACAAATATTTTTAAACACAAATAGAAAGCAACAACAACAAATGTAAACACACGTAAATAATAAATGACAAATAATGCAAACAGATGTCAATAAATAATGACAAATAATGCCAACACCTGTAAATAATAAATGACACAAATGTAAACACACAAATAATAAATGACCACAAATTTAAACAAACATAAATAATAAATGTAAACAAATTTTAACACACCCTTTAAAGGGTGGTTAGTAGTGTGATCTGCATTTTTTGGCCCACCACATCCGATTTCAGCCAACCCTTAATCTGTCACTTCTTGTTATGAGGCATGGGTCTATCCCTCCCCCTCTGACCAAAATGGGTCCTGGAAGTTACACAGGGACAATTGTTACCACACAACAACAACAACAAACACATTTAAATGTAAACTAGCTTCAACTAACCGCTGTCGCTTTGGCAGTCCGGGTGATGCCCTGTCTGCTACCAAGACAGTTTCTGTGCTACTTTCCCCGACGTCAATCTCACAAGTCTCTGTGGAGGAGCTGGCACCATCGTGATGCATTGTGGTTAATGTGGGGGTGTGAGGCAAAACTCCGGAGGATGAGGGCTCTTGGCTGTGGTCACTACCAGACAGGGGGAACTTCTTATCCTCTCCTGAGGGGGACACTGCTGACGTGATATCAGCCACCTGGCCACATCCATGTGACACAACTTCTGTCTTCACATTTGGAATTAAGGGCGGTGGAAGTGAGTCGCTTGTGCTGCTTACTGACTGGTCAACTTGTGGACTCTTCACTTCCTTTATTGCCGGAGGAACTGTATGCTGTATAATAAACAGAAAAACATCAAATATAGATTTACTTTAACAAGGTGTTCATTCTTGGCATTGAAAGTGCGGGTCACGTGGTGTTTTGTGGTTTACTGCTAGACTGTGACATCTGAACCTTTCAGCCCAATACATAAGATTTAAGACTTTAGCAAATCCTTAAACAGTAGCATTCTAGACATGCTTATTTGGAGACAATGGGTTTATTCAAGCCGCCACCCCCCCCCCAAAAGTCCACTCAGAAAAATGTGTAAATTGAAAAAATAATCTACAATTAACCGGGAGCTGTAGCAGTGTGCTTGTTAGATGATTATAAGCTGGTATCGAGTTGGAAGCTGCACCAAACTCAATATTTATCGACCTGCGTTCTCAGGATGGTTCAGCCTTAAAATGAGTTTCGTAATGTCATGGAAAATAAAAGTGCTGGGAGAGATGTAGCTATATTACCTTTTAAGCACTGATAAGGTCTACAATAAACAAAACCAAAGTGAACAAAAACTTATAAAAATATAAGTCTAATACTACATGTTTGATGTATTAATGACCTGAAAAAAAAAGCCATGTGAGTAGCTTAAAGTAGCAGTGGCTAATCGGGCATATGACGCTAGATTCCTATTTTAATATATCAGTCGGTAATTAATGTGTGATGTGGTCAAAAACAAGCCAAAAAAGGGTTGTTTACTTTATTATAATTAATCACTAAGCCAAAAACACCTCATTCGTATTCAATGAAATAAAGAAATAATGTAATAATATCACCTTAATGTCCTCATCTGGCTTGGTAGGAGAATTCTTCTCCGGGCTTGAGTCTGGGGTGCCATTTTCATTAGGGATTGGCTTGAATGCAGGTATAGGTTTGACATTTGAGTGGTTTTTCTGTGAAAACATAAATATGTAAATGTCAGTATACGAGAAGAACATGTGAACCACTGTAACAAGAACATTTTTTCAACAAATAGGGAGACACATGATCCCTTGTAATAAAGAACATTCTTTAACAAATAGGAAGACATATGTACCAATATAAGAAGAATATTCTAAAACTGGGAAGATATGCATATCAATCAAAGAAGACCAACTGGAAACATATGGAAATCAAAGTAAGAAGAACATTCTGGAACAATTGGGAGGAGATTTTTGACACCACCAGTAACAAAGCTGGGTTGATACCAGAGCTGTACAAGTCAGCGATGTTATAATGCCTCTGCAGTGGAATGAACCCAGACGACTGCCTTGGCAGGCAGGTAGGCAAACTAACTGCTGTGGTTACTACCGGACGGAGGGAACTTTAGATCCTTTCCTGAAGGAGACACAGCCGAAATGATATCAGCCACCTGGCCACATCCATGCGACTGTCTCTGCCTTCCAATTTGGAATCAGGGATGGTGGCAATGAATTGTCAGCGCATACTAACTACTACTGCTCCTAGAGATTTTGTATTAGTATGTTTATAAAATAATCAGTAGGCTCGGGTAAGTGTTATTATGCTGATCTAGTTAAGATACATAGTCTTTATCTTCTTCCTCCCCTTCTGGACTTCAGTATTGTTTCAGAACTTGAGTTGCGTGCATGTTTTTTTTAACAGCTGTTGATTCCTTGCCTGACAGGCAAATGTAGCCTGACCACAAAGACTCTTACAACATGCTTGTTAGGAAGGCAGTGTCTATCCCCCCCCCCCCAAAATAGGGTCCCAAAACCCATGTGGAGAAGATACATGATTAAACTACAAATTTAGATACACAGTTGACCTGTAAACACTACAATGCTGATTTAGCTGAAATATCAAGACCCACCTAAAATGATGATCACCTTAAAAGGGAAAGCTAATTGGTGAAGCCATCTTCTTAAGTCCTGAAGGTTGTGGTTTCACTTGAATATCTACATAATTCTTTTTCTTTTTTGCATTTACCCTTCAAAGAGCGGTTGTGTTGTGGTTTACAGCAGGTCTGCAATATTGGGGGTGGGGGGATGAAGGGGGTGGGCCCACTGCCATGGGCCCACTCATGACAAGCCATGACATGACAAGCTTGTCATAAAAGGTGACTAATTAGGAGTTTTCCCACCAAAGTCTGTACATCTGCTTAAGAGACAAGTAAGCAATAGTCTGCATACAATAGGCCAGATCTGTAAAACGGATGTGCATGCAAGTTCTGGAACAATACCATCAAAGTCCAGGACTGGATGAACTTTCTGCCAGAGTTTACAGCCGGTGAGCGCTAATAAATAAGGAATAAAGACCGCCAACTGACTGGTCACTTACCAGCTTCTTGTAGTGATGTGAACAGTAGCCACAGTACTTGACATTGTCGTAACTGCCGGTCACTTCACATAACAATCCCTGCGCTTGAGCACTGAAAGTGATCATGACAAAATGTGAGATTGAACAACAACAAGCAAAGAAATACACCAGATGTATCCTGATTCTGGGTAACTCGTTTCAAAAGAGATGAATAGATAAAGTAACCTTAACAGGAGCTGGACATCAAGATAGTTCCATGACCTGTCTGGTCACTGAGTCACCAGTTGCTGCTGATTGATTAGTTCCCTCCACCTCTGCTGGTCAGATGCAATTTAATAAGGAGATGAGTAGATAAAGTAGCCTTAAGAGGAAAATACTGTCAAGAATATCTTGGGTAAAAGAAAAGATAAGAATGGAAGTAACACTGAGAATTGTATTGTTCCATTTTAACTCATGACTGTCACCACACCAGAGGTGGATTCACACACAAAGATAACAGACAAAGATGGGGGAAAGGAAAAGATATTTTTTTAAACAAAGACACAAGGCAGTAGTAGCATTCAAAGAAAAGGAAAATCAGTGATGTCAAACGAAATTAAACTAAGTACCAAGCTAAGGATATTCGATTCTAACATTATGAAAAGGACCAATAAAGCATGGTGACTTGCAAGCTCATATGCTTACCATGTGGTAATGAGTTTATTCCCCACTGAAGCTGTATTTTCTCTTGACCAAACGACATTGACTTTAGCCGTTTTATAAACTGGGTGCCATACAATTGTCAGAAAGGTGAGATGGCATTATACTGACAGTGTAGCAGTGGAAAATCGGGCATATTTTTAAATACCAGTTGGCAATTCAAAATGATACTGACTTACAATTAATGACTTTATCAAACATCTATTGGTCTAACATAAGTGCCCTAATTACCATAGATCTGTTATTTGCCTTTTACTCGTTTACCATGTAAAATAATGGACATTTTCCCTCCCCTCTGAGGCATACTAGATAGATGGCATAGACCCCTATTTCTGTAGACCAATCAGCACTCAATGGGTGATGTAAATATGCCAGCACCTTTACTTTCCAGAAAATTTCCTGGAAATCATTCAGACTAGTGACCTGGCAGCCCATGTCAATTAAAAAAAAAAAAAATCATAGCATAACAATGGATGTGAATACACGACTACCATACTGGCAAGTAAGCACGCTAACCACCACTGCTGCTCCAGCATTTACCATGAGGAAAATAATCAAAGATTTATGGATACCCAGTTAAATATGGTGGACAGGCAATCAGTACTTCAGAGATCTAAATTGTTTCTTCGCTTCAGCCTATGGTTTGCTAATGCTGTTTCCAGGTATGGACTGAAGTGTACGATTTTGTTGCCTTAGCTACTGATCTAAGTGCTTGGGGCTACAATGTGAGCTGTTTTTTTCATGTGGTTTGTGTCGTGACATTAAGAAAATTGAACATGGCTGGTAATCAGTCTGCATTTATTCTGGCCAGGTGCCTTATGCATTGGTAATGTGTGTGTAAGGCCAATTTATCATGACTAATTCTATCCATGAAAAATTGTAATTCTGGTAGCGGCTGTTGGTGTTGGCACCACCTCTAGTGACTGCTTTATGCATTTTGCTGGAACTAGTTTGTTCATTAGTTTTTAATTGGGACAGTGAAGGGCATTATGTATGATTCCCACAGGCACAGGAATGGAAATTCGACTTCTACTACTACACAAAAGATTTCAAATTAGGCAACGTCTAGAAACTTTGCGATGTGTACTTACCATGTAACATGAAAATACTGCTTACAACTGTTGCGGTTACACTGCATGCAAGCACCCGCTGTAGCTTTCGTGTCTCTCTTCTGTTCCTCACAGATGTAGCAGGTCTAGAGTGTGACAGAGTATACAACCACTGAGTTCAAAAAACTTTATATTGTTATCACACAATTACATCTTTCTGGTTGGGCATGATATCTTAGTCCCAAAACACTGCCTGTAGCTGAGCCACCTGTTGCTGCTAAATGCCTAATTAGTTCCATTCACCTGTGGCAGATACAATAAATGTTTACATGTTTCAGTCCTGTTTGCTTAGCCAAATTCTGAACCCAGATGTTTATTGCTGCCACTTCTCATCTACCGAGCCCTGCGTGTCATTTTTAGAGAGAGCGGTAGATCTTGTCTGTTCCACTGCACTTTCTGTCTTGTCACTGTTGTTATTAAAATTTATAGTTGCTAATATGCTGAAAGATACGGCCAACTTCCTCAATTGTGATGAGGTCTCTGAACAATATACCAAGAGTCTTTATCATAGATCGTTATTCTGTCTTGTCTTGTCCACAATTGCCTCACAGCGTAGTGGGGAGTCGCAGTTTTCTATCCTGGGCCAGGTGTGTTGCATGCGTTGTTGTTAGTCCGTGTTGCCTCAGGATCTCTGATATATTGTCTATCCATCGTACTCTCGGTCTGCCTCTTGATCTAGGGCAGTAGTGTTGTTCGTTGTATGCTCGTAGAGGCAGTTGGTCGGTTTGCATTAGCATCAAGTGGCCAAACCACTCTATTTGTTGCTTCTTTATGTATTGCAGGCATGGTGTGGTTCCTACAATTGATCTAATGTTCTCGTTTCGAACTCTGTCTCTCCTTGTGACATTGGCAGCCTTACGTAAGCATCTCATTTCGCACGTCGTGATCTTTTTCTCCTGTGCTCTTGTTAGGGACCAGGTTTGGCATAAATATGCAATTTATCAGTTGTCGTTTTAGTGCCATAGTGATGCTTGGGTGTTTTAGCAGTGGGGAGAGTTGGTAAGTTACTGCGTTCGCCTTTTGACATCTTGCCTCAAGTTCCCTATCAATTCTTCCATCATCTGTGAAAATGCTCCCCAAGTATTTAAATTGCTGCACTTGTCTGAGTTGTTCGTTGTTAACTTGAATAGTTATTTCCAAACCAAAATCAACACATCTAATCACAGCCAATAAGTATGTGGTGAGTCGAATGTTTAGGTTACATCCTTCTGTTTTCTTCTTTAGTTCTGAGTTGAGGCACTCTGGATATGTCCATGAGTGCTATTCTCCCTATTCCACACATAAGCCTGCCACAAATAGTAGTGCCTATTCTAAGCTGGCTGACTAGACCTTCTGTATGTCTTTCATGCCTGGCTGTGCACATCCCAATGGGATGTTGAAGCACCACCCCCAAAATCCTCCTGCCTAAAGTCAAATGTATGTAGGTAGTGTTTGTCATCACAACTCACTACAGCCTCTTGTCTCATAGACAGATATGATTAACTTTGTATGTATATTCACAGCAGGTCGCAATTTAAAAAAAAAAATTTGGTAATGGCAGTGCTCATATTTGGTAGGCTGTCCTGTGTCTATAGTGGCATCTTATGCATAATTATAATTGTAACCAGTTCTGAAAACCATTTCAACACCCCATATTCCTTGTTTACACAAATTATTTTCACAATGCCGACACAAACAATACACTGCACAATTTATTGCCTGGCATAGTTTTCTGAGTCTCATTAGGTGCATTCTACAGAGTTACATAAACATATAATGTATCTTAAAAATTAATCATCTCAGTTAAAACACACAAATCCCAATGTCTCTAGTCATAATATAACTTCAAGATTCAAGTTAGTTAGATCCAACCCCAAGACTTCTCGTACCTGGCTGTGCTGATCTTTATTCCCAATTCTTGCACTCTTAGCAAAGATGTGGAAGTGTTGCTTCCAAAATTCTCAGAACGTCCTGCCTCTCTAATGGCATTAACAATGTTGGCATGATCAATGGGCCAGCCCTCTGTAACTAAGGCAGAGCCGGCTAATCTCTCAGCTTTTTCATTGCCAACAACACCTGCACACGCTGGTATAAAGATGAAGGTAACTCCACACACAGTGGAGAAACTTACCTTATTGAATCTTTCACCAGGAACAGAGTTCAAAATAATCGGTTCCATAGTCTGGACATTAGCAAACCATGCTTCCGGGATGTACAGTGCACAGACAACATGACACCAGCCTGAAAAAGTGTGCAATTTTACAACAAATCAACACTTATACCTAGTTCACCAACATCTGCGATAAAATTCTGAATTAAAAAAAAAATTAAAAAGATTTAAGAGACAAAGAGGGGTGGGGGGAGGGGGAGGGAGAGAGAGAGAGAGAGAGGAGAGAGAGAGAGAGAGAGAGAGAGAGAGAGAGAGAGAGAGAGAGAGAGAAGATCTGTATATTCACCTGCAAGTCACAGTCTATTTGCTGAGCTGAATCCTGCCTATTTTTCCTTCCCAGAGACGTGAAGTTAAATTACTTTTGTTTTGTGCCTCATTCTTGTTTCTAAGCTAAGGAAAGGGTAGAAGAGCACTGCAACACAGTCCCTGGGGAATGGTACTTTGGAACTAGACAGGGGGAGAAATCTTTATGTCAACCTCTGACAAAAAGTTATTTGCATACACCTTATGGGATGTCACAATCCAACCCAAAGTATGTCACAGAACTAAGCCAACGTATTTGATTATCTGAATGACAACTGACAATATAAAAGAGTTATAACTCAAGCCTTTCAGCAGAATCATAAACAATCAACCAGCCAAAATGGTCTAAATCAATATATACCAACAGTTGTGTTATCTCCTTTCTCTCTCTGGTTTTATTACAAATATAATATAGTCAATCTAAAAGGAAAAAGATAGCAGTGGATCACACAAAATAAAACAGATGTGAAACACTAATAAATTAACCCAGTTGTAAACTCCTTCTTAGCGTTAGGCAACTGTTAACTCCAGTGGAAAGTTTTGGTTGCACATCCATTTTACAGATCTGGCTTATCTGCATTCAGACTCTTGGTTCCTCGTCTAGAACCTGTACGGGGAATCAGATGTAATCAAATGTATGTCCTGTGTGCTGACTCTGGGAGACTTTTATCATCTGATCATTTTGTATTTTGACATTTTCATTAGAAAAGATACAAATAAAGATACTGACAAATGAAACAAAAACAATGACTATTTAGCTGAACCTCATTTTTTTCCTGTTTTTTTTAGCTGTGTGGTTTACAGAGAGTTTGTAGCATATTGGCTGTTTTTCCTCCACCTTATTTTTAGTCTAGCTTCCAATCCACCAGTTACTGTTTCTTCTTTTTCTTCTTCTGCTTCACCAGCATACTCTGGTCATGCATTTAATCCAATATGGGCCATGTCAGCTCAAGTTCTCTTAGGTTTCCCTGAAGCTTAGTTATCTACTGGGTGTGACCACATGTTTCTTTGCAGATCCTCCAGGATGGACAGTACGACTATAATGTTGTCCATCTAACAGTGGACTGAAAACTTGTCCTGGACTATATTTTGTAACATGGCAGTACTTCATCAACTGGATCTGATGAGATAAGAACTCACAAGAGAGCACTGGCAAGACAGAAACTTGGCAAAGAGAGCACCAATAAAGTTACAGTACTGGTCAAGTAGAAGTACTGGGAAGATACAAGTGATCACCCCTGTGTACAAACACAACATGGCGTCATGGTGGCGTATTGACTAGAAGTTACGACTCAGACCTGAAGGCCTTAAACTGCGTGGAGTCATATTCAATCCAAACATGACCTTGGCTTCCAACTTGACCCAGTTTAAAATAGACACGAGAAAAAGTCCATGGAAGTAAAGGCAGTTTGTTTCATTAACTACATGACCCAAATAACCTTAAAAAAAAAAAAAAAATGTGAGCCTAGTATCATATGCTTAATGCATCACTGGCGTGAAAAGGATCACCTACTTACTTCCGTCAGTTACAAGCACAGTGACAAGACGGACAATTTAGAGCAATGACATGCTGAATTGGCATTGGCAAGGCAGAGCACTAACAAGACAGAACCATTGCAAGAAGGACAACACAGGTATGTACTGTATGATGCCGAAATAGCAATGTTTAAAAACACAGTTGTGATCTCTGCTGCTCCTGTACTGTTGGGGTAACCTTGACAATCTGTTACTGCCAGAAACCTACCTCCTCCATCTGTTCTCTTGAGCGCACCAGCTCTTTGCGGACATAGTTCACATTTCTGCAGAAAGTACAGTTATACAATATAATCTTGTATGTGTGTGTGTTGTGTATAATGAGAGAGGGAGAACAGTTAAAAAGAGACAGCGAGAGGGGAAAGAGACAGACAGATATGAACAGAAAAATGACACACACAATCCATACAAAATAAGGCAGTTAAATATTTTCTGTCCATGGTTGGAGATTTTTGCATTCTCCTCAAATACTACATTTCTTCTTTATTTTAGCAAAAATTTTTGTTATTCGTCCACCTCTGGACTTTGGTCTTATGTCAGAAGCTAATTTTGTTCTTCTGAGACTGCTGGTTCTTTGCAGATGCACTCTGAATTTAAAGAAAACTCCCAAATCAGTCAGCGCCTTTATTTTTGGTAGTGGGTCTACACCCCAGCCTCCCCCCCCCCCTTCACAAGCAGAGCACCAGAAAACACAAAGGAAAGAACTACATTTGAGAATTGCATGCTGGGATCACAGGTATTTCAACATGTCTAATTACTATGTACCGCAAACATACAATAGTAACATCATTAGCCAGTGCCTTGCCAGCGGCCATTGGTGATTATGCCTCTCCACAATTTAACACTTTATTCCCTAGTGTAAATCTTGTAAAAATGCTAATTAAAAGTTATATTGTACATAAATAATAGTAAATAAATATACATAAATACTCACAACTCTGGCTACTCTTTCCTGTGATTCGCATTTTCGACAAAACCAAGGCCCTGATGGTACTTGTACAATACCGTAGCAAGCTGTGGAAAATGAAAGGCATGATCTCAACACCTGCAATAATTCACATTTTCAACAAAACTGAGACCCTGACGGTGCTTGTACAATACCATAGCAAGCTGCAGAAAATGAAAAAAGAGATAATCTTAATTCATGTAATCATTCACATCTCAACTTTCTCAGTATCAACCAGTCATCAACTCTTTCAAACCCAAGCAGTTGTGACTTTTGCTCCTTCTATTCCAAGAAACTGTGCTAAAAGAAATACTCTGATGTGGTGGAGTTAAGCAGAGACACTATGTAGCAAGAGTAGCTAAACTAAAAATTCAGATAAAAGAGTGATTTTAACATCTGTAGGTAGCAAGTAAGTCATATTATCCTAAGAATGACCAAGAAATGAAAAGTAAGTTGTTTGGTACTGCAAAAACTGCCTGTTTTGATCTCTTTTAGTGGTGAAGCTCAGGAATTTATGGTCGCTTGGATACTGCAGTTGCCACGGACTGTGTATGGTTAGGATTTTAATTTTGCGCTAATTTGTTTGGTACTCAAAGAGTTAATTTAACTCTTTAAATCCTGAGACCCTATTTGCAGTAATTCCTAGTGCGTATTCCAGGGCTCCAGCCTGTAGAACAAAGAAGACCTACCTTTCCTCCCTCCCCAACCCCCAGGTGACGAATTAAGGGTGTTACCTCCAAATCGGGGTTAACCTGCCTAGGAGGCAAAGAACCAACAGTCTGCATACAATTAAGCCAGATCTGTAAAACCAAAGTTTTGGACCAATATCAGTCTAAGAATGGATGAACAACCAGAACTTTCCACCGGAGTTTAAGCTAAGAAAGACTAAAAAGATTAAGAAAAGGTGTAAAATAATTAATGTCTGAGTCCAATGCTGTTGAAACAATAACACTATGAGAGCGAAGAAAAATTTAAATTGACAATCTGGATACATTAGGTTCATGTGCTGACCATTTGCAGCAGAGGAGAATCTTGACCAACCAGTTCATGTGTGGCGAGTGATAAGGTTCAGAAAGACCTGATGATTGTTTTAAACTGGGTAGACTGAGCCTGTTGTCGTGGATGGAATCAGTTTCATCATCATCATGAAACATGTCCTTTACAAGAATGTTGCTCCTATCACAGCCCACCTGAAACTCAAATCTCTTGCAGATGTCCCGCTGCATGCACTTTCCTTCCTAAAGTGTCCCTTATATCCTGTACCCGTGTTTGCACTGACTGGGTCCTGCCCCTTCCTCCTGATACCATGCCAATATATTTCAGTCTCTGAGACGATGTTGACAAGACGATTTTCCTTCATGTTCAGATTTTTGGAATATGTTTATAAGATATGGTAGATTTTACACAAATTATGCATAACAGAGGAAACACACTGAGCTCAGGACTATAAAGTCATCATAATGTAGCAGGTCCTTTGCCCATCTCGACCTGACTGAAAGTAACTCGGTCTCTCGCCAGCTCTCCCACCTCATTTACTTTCATATTCTAGTAGTCATTTATATTTGGCCTATCTTCGTGTTGGTCGGCCCCTGTGCCTCTTTCCTGGTACCGTGCCTTCAGCTGTTACTTTTCCAATCCATCATGATGCTGTTTATCACCCATTCTTTCTGGATTTTCAGATTTTTTTAGACTGTCAGTATTTCTTCTCTTTTATGTCCTTGGTATTCTGAGAATCTGTCTATATCATTTCAGCTCAAAAGCCCACATTTTCTTTCTTAAGGACAAGGGCTATAAAGTATATTACCTAATTATGTTTCCCTTGAGAGAGTCAGAAGCAGCCCAAGAGTCACGGAAAAGATGCTGGACAGTTAATTATCACAGCAAGGAAGAATGTCTGTACTATACAAATTAGTGAGAGTATATGAAACAAAAGACTGGACAGACATCAATATCACTGCCTAATGGCACTTACGCACAGTATTACTATTACAATATACACAGTACAATGCAGAAATGTATTACAGTATTAATAATATTAATTATTCAGTGCAACAAAAGTATAAGTATATAATAATTAATTAGCCCAGTCAACAACTCATCATCACCATCAAGTTCTGTGCCGGTAAGCATAGGCCAGGGCTTTTTAACTCGTGGCTGTGGGCCAGATTTGGCCTGCAAATGTCTAGCAAGTAGCTCGCAGATCATTGCCAGCTGTTAATGATATTTCTATGCCGGGGCTTGGGCCTCTGGCCCATGACAATCCCCATTTTCAACATTTTGCACCAATAAAACTTAGTGAATAGCCCTGGCACAGGCTGTCATGTTTCACCATCTCACATGATCACCAGAATCATATTCTCCATAACTGATAACCTCAAGAATTTGTGAAAGCTAACGATGGTGAAACAAAGAAGAGCATTCTCATTTATAATAAACAAATTTGTGTTTTTTACTGATTAATCTGTCTGTGTCTGTGGCTTAGTGGTTATGAACACAGCTGTGTACTTTACTTCATCATCATCATGTAGTTAGTGTGCTGGTTGTCACCCTACACGATCACCAGAACCATGGATCAGCTCAATGTTTTTGTCTCACCCAATCTATCTGGCTATGCCATCTAGGTATTTATATTTTTGTCTTACTCTTTGCATTTTTTTCACAAACCATATCTCTGCTGCAACAACTGCATATTTTACTAATAATTAGGCACTAATTGTAACGGCGACTTTGGTGGACGTATTGGCGTAAGCCATTGCAAGTTAAAATTACAGTAAGTGCCGACACTAAGGAATGTAATCCACTGTTTGAATAAGTTCACATAAAAATAAATAATATATATATATATATAATTTTATCATTTAGGATTAGGGTTAGCAAGTATACAGCAAGTCTGACAAAAATTCAGCCTACTGGACCAGGGCGAACTCAAATGATGTTATATTGTATCAAAGCAGGTCAGACAGGCACAACATGACCAGAGACTTGCAAAGTGCCTTACATGAGATGACGAAGTGGTTTGAACAGACAGGGTCAAGAGTAAAAAGGCTAGTGTTTTGTGGTGCTCTTTAAATAACAGCAGTGAAAAGGAAGACTTGCCCAACATATACATGAATGATATTAATGTTGAAAGAAGAGATTAGCTGAAAAGCTTAGGTCTGACATTTGCAGTCTGTCCTACAAATATCACGTGATCAAATTCAAAGGCCTGGCGGCACTGAAGACAATGGTGGCGACACACATGGAAAAGAGATTACTGGTCTTATTGTTCAACCATATGGTCCTTTCTGTAATGATTATGGCCTAGAAAAATTACCCCTATCTACTTCACAGTATACAAAGCTTCAAAAGATTCAAAATGAAGGGATGAGAATCGTCTTGGGTTGCACACAAGATATCCCAATTAGAACATTTAAGTTGCGCGTGTGGATTCCGAGGTCCTATTATAGGGAAAACAAAAATAGACCCACTGCCTACCCAAAAGCATGTTGTAAGAGTCAATGAATTGGTAGCTTTTTTCGAAGTGGGAGTGAATTTGAGAGGCAAGAAACCAGCAGTCTGCATACAAATGAGTCAGATCTGTTTAACAAATGCACACACAATACTCAGGTTCTGTAACATGACTGCAGTCCAAAAGTGGATTAACAACCAGAACTTTTTGCCAAAGTTTACAGCTGGTGAACACAAAGAACATTGAGATATATGCTTGGGCTGACATCGGTCAAGTCTAGACTGTCACTGGTGCAAGCCAAGGCCTATAGGCAAGTTACCAATGATGAAAAGCATCCAATCCACTGCATGGTAATCTGACTGATTTAAGAGGAGACCGACTGAAAAGAGGAAAGTGAATGGCACTACCTGAATATACCATTGTGACGGCGGCCTCAGTCAAGCAAATACACAGGGGGCAGGAATGGATCGGCACGAACACCCAATATAGCAGTTTCCATGAGATAACTATCATGTTAGGAAGAGAGGCTCTCCTTTAAACTACGGCCGGTTAGACTGCCGGTTAGTCAGAGTTCAGTCCCTTGGCTGCAATGCAATTACGGAGTGGAAAAGAGGGAACGAAACAAATGACATATTTACTGTGTGTTGGCGATAGACAGCGTGCAGTGCACTGCTGTCATCATACGGCTAGGGTGTGGGTTAGGGTAACACATGTAACGTCGAGTACGTACCCATAATGACCGCCGCTATATCTGATAATTTTGACCTCACTTTGTTTTGTGATTCATGCCTTCTTCACTCTGTAACTGCACTGTAGCCAGGGGACTGCACTCCGACTAACCGGCCGTAGTTTAAAGGAGAACCGGAAGAGAATATTACAGAGAGTGGTGCAATGGTATGGCAGAATTGGAGGTACAATTGACAGATGGAAAGGCTGGGCTAGATGATGCAGTAGTGTACACTGATGGTTTTATTCATCAGGGTGTAAGATCTGGCTGGGGATTTTCAGCTAGAATTAAAGGAAAAATGTTGGAATGTCAAGCATGAGGATGGAAGTGGAGGTATTCACTGCAACTCTGAATTGGATAGCAGAAAACAAAGTTACCAGATGAGTTATTGTGTCTGACTCTAAGTCGACACTGCAGAAGGTTACAAATGGACTAATGTGGCATGAGTGGATACCATGCATCAGTACACCAACATTGAAGGGAATCACATGGATATACTGTCTGGAAATGCAGGAGTGCGAGGGAATGAAAAAAGCAGATTTTCTGGCTACGAAAGCAAAAGCTACGGTGGACACCCAACAAGGGAGATTTTGAATTTTCTGAAGACCAGATGATATATGAACGATTGTTGGCAGAAGACACGAGATAGGATGAAATAACATGGGCAAGAATAGAATGTGTGAACGAGGAATTAAGTATGGATCCGGCAGGAAATCGACGTGTGTATAATCAATAATCAGTGTGCTACGGGAATATCTACAGCTACGCCTTAAGACATTTGCTGAGGGAGACGGAGTGTCTATGGGTGTGCCCGGTGGGCTATGATGTCCATAGTAATCTAGTAATCAGTGTAAAGTTAAAAAATAAAAAATACCACTGATTTAAAAAAAAACAGCGGGTACTTTTTTATAATGTACAGAAAAGTTAACTACAGTTAGTCTATCATTAACTACTGGCGTAGCAATCTTACAACTAAGAAGAGTGCAACCGTACTTGAAGAAAAACAAACATTGTGATTGTCATTCAATTTTTTTTTTTTTACCTTGGTGAACGGCAACGTTACAACCCGCTCCGTCACAATAAACAAGAGGATTTTCACTCCATCCGCTCTCATCTGAACATACACAACATCCCCCAATCATTTCCTTCGCCTTCCTGCTCATTTTCCATTCGAATTTTGGTACAACTACGACACGAAGAACGTAAAATTGCTATACGCCGAACATTTCAACACATCCATTGAAAGAGGCAGCCATGTTTGCTAGCAATGTGCCAAGTTGTCAAGTAGAGTTTTCAGTTGCCAGTGAATTCCTGTATATTAGACTATCTGTGTGTCTCTCCATCTGTCTAAGAAAGAAAAAACTTGCAATGAATTGATTTTGTTTTCATGACCGTGGGACACAGGTTCGAATCTTTGGTAAGCTTATGGCTTTTTTCCCTTCTGCGAGGAGCAAATATAAAATCCTAAACTGCATAGCTCTGGGCGACTACAAGAGCCCTGCGGCCCTAAATCATCAGACTCAAAGATTCTTTCTCCCCCTCTTACACACACAGAATGGGAAATACAGAGAGTATTAACAGTTTTCACGAACTACAATCTTGTGTCCAGCATATCGTTCAAGAACCTCAAGTAGACTGTATAATTATGTGTTCCTTGTTGAAGTCTCTAAGTCTTATGGTAAGGGTGAGTATACACAGGGGTGCCGCAGCCTGGGGATATAGACACATTGAGACACCCCTCCCCCCTCACCGGTCTCAACCACCACCACCAAACAATTTTTGTGGATTCGGGCCCCAGCTCTCATCCCTCTTGGATTTGCAAGGAGACTAAACTGTCCTCCCAAGCCAGTGAAGAAGTTGCCATTTAAAGTTTTTGTTTATGCATATATTGTACGAATATTTGGCGCCATTCCGAACATTATTGTTATTATTATTATTATTATTATTACACAGTGTATTATTATTAAGCACATAAAGAAGGCTGAGGTCTTTTATGCTCACATCACTCGAAAATTTGTTAGAGGGATGATGGTCCCCGCCACCTGTTTCTGTTGTATGGGCGCTCCTGAATGTACCTAGCATTTGACATATCTCATTTGTGTGTAATTTTTTTAACGATACTTAGAAGTGAGAGTATCATATGCCTTGTGCTTGATCTTATCACACACAACTTGGTCTTCTCCGTAGAACTGTTAGTCGCCGTGAGAGTGTTGCCCTGAGCCCGAACTGCATGGGTATAGAGAATTATCCTCAACGGTTTTCGAAACACCCCCACTCCTAAACCGAAGGACTAGTAAAAAGGGAAGGACTTTTCCCCACGACTTTCAGGCGTATTGGGTATATAGAGCTAGATCCTATATTTTATAGACCAAACGGCACTTGGTGGGTGATGTGGTCAACCTCACGCCGGCCGCCTTTACTTCACAGGACGGTACCTGGGGTCGACTAGGGAGACATAGCCATTTTTGAAAACAAATTCGGCCCTCGTCAGGAATCGAACCCATGACCTTTCGATCCGCAAGCAGGCGTCTAGCCGCTAGATCACGGCGGCTCCATCCGCAGCACTAGCGCGATATTTAATTTAAAAACTTCGCAATACAAGACATAGGGACCATTTAGTCATACTTAGTGTCCAGTTGTTTATGTGTTATCAAGAATTTAATATTTATGGGAAATAGTTTCGGCAGTTTATATTCTCGTTTTTATTTCTCTTTCACTTCTCCCATCATTTGTTATTACATGCTCACAATAAAGACTGTTGATTGTTTTACACGGTGATGCTGAAGACAAATTTAGCAGATGTAAGAGTGTGTGCTACCAGTGCTTAACGACTAATGAGCGGAAGATCGTAACAACAAAGATGAGATGTCGTAGAAGTACTGTCGTGTGACGAGAAGAGATACTATCGAGAATTAAAACAGTTAGAAGACTAGGATTGAAACCAGTGATCAAATTTATTAAAGAACAACAAATGAGATGGTTTGGCAACCCGACGAGTATGCCCTGGTACCAACTGCCACAGAGAGCCACGCTGAAGAAATATAATGAACACAGAGCAAGGGGAAGACCACGCAAGACATGTAGCGACACCATCAGGAGCAACCTAACAAAAATGAACATCAACTTGTACAATGCATTGGAAAAAGCACACAAACGATCCTTAGAACTTCCCCGAACACCTAGCTCAGGTAAGTGGAGGAAGAGAAGAAATGGAAGACGAAGAAGAAGAAGACGAATAATAATAATAATAATAATAATATTAATAACAATAATAATAATAATAATAATAATAATAATGTATCAGTTCGTGTGCCGTCACACCTCCATGCCATGCAACAAGACTGTCAAGAATCTTCTCTCGTTGTCTTCCTCTATCCCTCCTTCTACAGATTTTTCCAGTGGTCACAACATATTCTATTTTCCCCCTTCTCATAACATGGCCGAAAAATGATGACTGTCTCCTTCTGATGTATGTGTTAAGTTGTCTTCGGGTTCCTGCCTCTTTCAAAACCTCTTGGTTGCTCTTTTTGGCTGTCTAAGGTATTCTAACCATTCTTCTGTAAAACTACATCTCTGAGGTCTCAAGAAATTGTTTGGCCTGCCTACCGATTGCCCAGGATTCACACCCATATGTTAAAACTGGATGTATGTAGCAAGCAATAATTCTTTTTCTAACTCTCAATGACAAGGATATATTGCACAAGATGTTTTTCATTTTATAAAATGCAGTTTTTGCCTGTGCTATTCTGTTTCTTATTTCAGTTATGCATCTTCCATCTGATGTTATCCACTTGCCCAGATATTTAAATTTCTGTACTTGTCCTAAAATAACACCATCGACTTTTATTACACATTTAGGAATAATTCGTTTCTTTGATACCAACATTACTTCTGTCTTCCTATTATTCAAACTGAGACCCATGATGAGCTATAAAAACATTAAAAAAAAAAAAAAAACTTCGAACACACGCACGTATGGTCGCATAGAAACACATAGCTTTCAGTGATACTCATTAACCCATGTGCAAGTGGTCGAGTGGGTACAGACTGTAGTCAAGTTGACCCTTTAATCCATCAGGGTAGCTAACGAAGTCAATAATCACTCCCTGCTTCACCATACCGTAGTAGTCGAAGAGTTAGCTGACTTCAGGCCGTTGGAATATTGATGCAAGTGTGCTATACTCATGATATATAAATTAGAATATATATGAGTAACATTAAATGAAACAGGGTTGCCATGTATATAACCAGTCTTCTGCTTCTGTTTATTTATTGTTATTTATCTAACTTCCACCTTATTTCTCTTCTTCCTCTTTCTTCCATTATTTCTTCCTCTTCTTCGTGCACTTCTGCTCATAATATTCTACTGTTTGTTACTCCTCCTTTTCTTAGTTGCTCTTTGCCTCCTTCCCTTCCGTCCTCTATTTACCCCATTCTGCTCATCCTATTCTCTTCTTCTTCTCCTTCCCATTCGTCACCTCCTTTTCCTCTTCATTTACTTTCAAATAGAACACAATCTCGCAAACAACACATTCCATGTGCTTAAACTGAAATTGGGAGAAATAGCGGCTACAGTCGCTACTAGCGTTTCTGTAGCGCTTCGGTTAACCGAAGTGAACATGACTTAAACACAACATACATCATGACTGTAGCTAAGTGAGCTCTAAACTTTATCTGTTCTTCAGATTCTCCTACGAGTAAATAATATGACAGCATAACAGTGAACAGTGTATATCATTATCAGGAAAAACGCACCTTTTAATATGTGCTAGCCCTGGCATCGAGGACAAAAATAATAGATTAATTTCTTTAAAAAAAATGTAGACATAGCTTATATGTGTATCATATTTCCGGAATTGTCTCCATGCAGAGTAACAATATATGTGTTTGGCCACGCTGTGAGAAGAGAAAGCTGATATGGTCAGTTTTTTTTTAGTTTACTGTTCCATGTCTGCTGCTAGATCCTATTAGGACAGACGTCACTGACTTGTCTGCTGTTGCAACGCGATCAAGGTACACACTCGGTTGCTACCGTTCTTGTGAACCCGGTTGTAAAAATACACGTGTATGTACTGGTTCTGAGCTGAGAAAGTCAAAGGCAATTGCAGCGTGTGCCGATTTATCATAAACTGCTATCTATCTATCTATCTATCTATCTATCTATCTATCTATCTATCTATCTATCTATCTATCTATCTATCTATCTATCTATCTATCTATCTATCTATCTATCTATCTATCTATCTATCTATCTATCTATCTATCTATCTATCTATCTATCTATCTATCTATCTATCTATCTATCTATCTATCTATCTATCTATATCTATCTATCTATATCTATCTATCTATCTATCTATCTATCTATATCTATCTATCTATCTATCTATCTATCTATCTATCTATCTATCTATCTATCTATCTATCTATCTATCTATCTATCTATCTATCTATCTATCTATCTATCTATCTATCTATCTATCTATCTATCTATCTATCTATCTATCTATCTATCTATCTATCTATCTATATCTATCTATCTATCTATCTATCTATCTATCTATCTATCTATCTATCTATCTATCTATCTATCTATCTATCTATATCTATCTATCTATCTATCTATCTATCTATCTATCTATCTATCTATCTATCTATCTATCTATCTATCTATCTATCTATCTATCTATCTATCTATCTATCTATCTATCTATCGATCTATCGATCTATCTATCTATCTATCTATCTATCTATCTATCTATCTATCTATCTATCTATCTATCTATCTATCGATCTATCTATCTATCTCTATCTATATCTATCTATCTATCTATCCTATCTATCTATCTATCTATCTATCTATCTATCTATCTATCTATCTATCTATCTATCTATCTATCTATCTATCTATCTATCTATCTATCTATCTATCTATCTATATAATCTATCTATCTATCTATCTATCTATCTATCTATCTATCTATCTATCTATCTATCTATCTATCTATCTATCTATCTATCTATCTATCTATCTATCTATCTATCTATCTATCTATCTATCTATCTATCTATCTATCTATCTATCTATCTATCTATCTATCTATCTATCTATCTATCTATCTATCTATCTATCTATCTATCTATCTATCTATCTATCTATCTA